AAACGGCGCACTTCCAGTCCACGATCTCACAGGGTTAAGCAAGTCCTCGGGGACATTAGGGCAGGACTTGGGAACATGCAGGTTGAAGACTGGGTAGACCTCATACTCCGCATTCACGAGCTCGCCAGCATGGATAGCATCCAAGATGGCACGGGTGTACTTGAGCGGGCAACGCTTGCCGCCAGTGGTAGCACCCGCACCGACCCAGCCGGTGTTCAAGAGCCAGGCGTTAGCCTTGTGCTCCTTCATCTTCTCGGCGAGCATGGATGCGTACTTCATGGGGTGGAGAGCAAGGAAAGGCTGGGCGAAACATGTAGAGAAAGTGGCCTGGGGCTCGGTGACGCCGACCTCGGTACCGGCCATCTTGGAGGTGTAGCCGGAGATGAAGTGGAACATCATCTGCTCGGTGGTGAGCTTGGAGATAGGGGGCAGGACACCGCGGGCGTCGCAGGTCAAGAGGATGATGTTGCGGGGGTGCACGTCGGCCTGGCAGGGAACCTTGGCGTTCTCGATGTACTCAATGGGGTAGGCGCAACGGGTGTTCTCAGTCAAGGTGACGTCGTCGTAGTCGACCTTACGGGTGATGGGATCGAAGACGACGTTCTCGAGGATAGAGCCGAAGCGGATAGCGTTGTAGATATCGGGCTCCTTCTCAGCAGTGAGGCCAACGCACTTGGCGTAGCAGCCACCCTCGATGTTGAAGACACCCTTGTCGGACCAGCAGTGCTCGTCGTCACCGATCAAAGCACGCTTGGGGTCGGCAGACAATGTCGTCTTACCAGTACCAGACAGACCGAAGAAAAGCGTAACATCGCCGTCCTTGCCCTGGTTGCAAGAGGAGTGCAAAGTCAAGACATTGTGCTTGATAGGCATCTCGTAGAACAAAACAGTGAAGATACCCTTCTTCATCTCTCCGGCGTACTCAGTACCCAAGATGACCATCTCCTTCTCGCTGAAGTTGATGGAGACTGATGTCGGGGAGGTCATACCCTCAGTCCATCTGTTCGCGGGGAAGGACCCGGCGTTGTAAATCACGTAGTCGGGGTGGAAACCAACGAGCTCCTCACGAGTAGGGCGGATGAGCATGTTGCGCATGAACAAGGCGTGGTAGGCACGCGCGCAGACAACGCGGACCTTGATGCGGTAGCGCTCGTCCCAGCCGGCGAATCCATCGATGACGTAGATCCGCGTGCGGGTGTTGAGGTAGTCGACAGCACGTTCTCTGTTGATTCTCCAGACCTAATCGTAGTTGATGTTAGCATCTTCTAGTACCTGAATATCTAGAACTTTTTGTCTCGTTTCTTTGTGATTTTTTTTTTGCCGGCCTTGCTAAGCTTGCAGAAGTGTGGGGCAATTCCACCCTCGGTAACTGAGCGATCATGCAAAATTGTGTGGGGCAAGACGGGATGCAAGACATAGCCGAGGGAGGAAGAGTGGGTCATCAAGCTTTCCCCAGATTCGATCATCAAGGGACCGGCAGTAAAGGCAAAGAGAACAAAAAACAAAAATTGAGAACTCACCTCAGGAGACATCTTCTTGTTCACCGGTCCCCACCAGACATTCTCTTCGGACGAAGGCTCAGCGACAATACGCTTGTCGGAGGGCGAACGGCCAGTCTTAGCGCCGGAGTAAGCTGTTAGAGCTCCAGAGGAGGTGATGGCAGTACCGGTCTCGTGGACAAGGGCATCCTCGTAAAGAGCAGCGACGGAAGGGTTGGCGATGATTGAGACGTGGGTGTAGTCAATGTGCGCGGTCTCAGCGAGCTCTTCCTCGAGAGCAGTGCGGCCTCTGTTGGGCAGGACACCCGCGGGGTGTAGTGGTGTCTTGTTAACAGCAGGGGGGGCCATTTTGATGTTTGATGGATGGGATAATGGGGATTGGGATGAATTGACGGAGGAAAAACGGTAGTAGTTCAAGTTATCAGTCGATCTTGCAAGGGGAGCAGTGTTAACTGAAGAAGAGGTGAAAGGATGGTTGGATGTGATGGAAGTCGAAGTCAGAGAGGATAATAATCGATTCTCTGGGAGGGAAGCCGGGGGTATATGAATCATTTCACCATTCCTCTCATTGACACCACCAGCACGACCAGCACCAGCACCAGCACCAGCACCATCGTCGGCCATGATGCGCGCACCGTAACGACGTAGATTGCCGCCCAGTATACCTCTCCCTTCGTACCAAAAGGTACCTCTGCCCCTTCGCAATCCCGCCGTACAGGAGGAAACGGACAGGTACCCCGTCCACTCTCGGCTAAGCAGCGCAGCAAGAGCAAACAGCAGCGAAAAACCAGATCCAGCCAGCTCCAAGCACGAACAGGGGGGGCACAAGGCACAGGCTTTCGCACAGTTCAATGACGATGATGGGGGATCCAATGGGGGATGAGCTGACTCCACAGCGAACGATAGAGAATTGAGAACGTCCGACTTCGCCCGAGGGGATATTCTGGGGAGGGATTTGATGATGTCCCTGCGCACGGAATAGCTGTTTTGCAATTGGAGAATTGTTCCCGTATGGCGTATGCCTCGTCGCTCTGCGCTCTCACACTTTGCAACTTTTCCGATTTCACCCGATATCCTCAAGCGAGTGGGATAAGACATGCGGCGCTTAACGGAGTGATACAGAGCTCATCTCTTTGCCGCGATGGTCGATGGTGGATCGATGTCTGTGATGCGCTTCTTCGCTGACCTCTCTCGGGCAGGGCTATCGGTACCTGACCGAGCTGGCCCTTGCCACGCCCCAGTGCAAGTTTAGAAGGTTTGAGGGAGCGCCACCAGGCAGAGTCTAAGACTTACCGAGGCCTGGTCATCTTGATGCTTGATGAGGCTGATGCTGGGCCTGGCATGGAGCTTGCCAATGCCTGTGCCAATGCCTGTATTCGCCGTTGTAGGCGTCGAATCTTTGCCAACCATGGGATTGAAACTGGGGCATGATGATTGCCGGAATGATCCCCTTCTCTCTAATGTCAATCGCATCGTCCATTTCTGCATCATCTGGTTTTCTGAAGTGGCCGTTTGGCAGCAGACAGACAGACCTCCATCGACATCGTCATGGCATGTCATGTCAAGTCAAGTCACCGCCACTACAGACCACACAGACACTCTCAAAACAGGCCAGAACAAGACAGTCGCAAGCTCTCCTAGCCAGCGGCGCATTGAGCTCCGCCAAAGGTCACTCGGTTTGCCCTGCTGCTCTGTAATCCTCTGGTCTGTGCTTTTTCCAAGAGCCGTGATGCGGTCAATTGATACGTGATGGATATTAGGAGGCGTCTGGGAAAGCAAAGACAACACCGCAACTAGCTACATTGTACGTACAGTACATACAGCACCGCCTGCCCTGCAATCAGCCCTGTCTAGCTTGATTCTTGTCTTTGCGTCTCTCTGCCTGATGAGTCGCCGATGTGGCTGAGCTTGCTGTCTCTTTTTGCTGTGCTTCTGCTCGTCCGGGGCGATAGGGAAGCACCGGGTCTGGGGAAAACGCAGTATGTACCTGCGTAGTACGCCGTACACGCTACGGGATGCCTCTCTCTCTCTTGTGCTGGAGTTGGGCATGATTGACGAGGACAGTCAAGAAGGAGCAGAAAACAGGACAGATCAAGCTTGGCTTGTTCGTGAGGTGGGCGTTCTCTGTCCGCAGTGCAGTCTGAGATATTCCTAAGGATCAATTTTCATCGGTATTAAGATCGGTTATGGCTATAGCCACGGGTCGACGATCGAAGCCGATGATGGCTCGACTCGAAGATCAACTCCCCAGCTCCCCATCTCATTGTAGATGTTGGCTGCAAATAATTAATGCGCAGACGTAGTTGGAGCTGTCGGTTCAGCTAGACATCTAGATACCTTGAAGCTTGCCGGTGAGGTACCTCAAATCCCCAGACATCAGTACCGGGAATCAAGTCAGATTTGCGTCACCCTCTACCACCATTCAAAGACGCCATAGATGTCATCAATTCCATCAGGATGATTGAAGTTCTCCTGCTCCTCCGAGCACATCTGCCGCCAGAGCAATGGCGAACTGCCGAGTCACATCTAGCGCGTGAGCTTCGAGATTTGCAGTGTGGATGTTTATTTTTTGCAAGCGGATCCTCCCGTCATCTTTGCTGCACGGCAATCCTCCTCGGGAGCTTACCCCTTCACGGAAGGAAAAGCCTCTGTTTTTTTCAGACTTTTGAAGATCTCCGGCTTTGGAGCTTTCCCCAGAAATACCAAGTCAGCAGAGATTTTTTTTTGTTGTTGGAGAAAGACGCTGCTTTTCCGCTGAACCGACTGACAACCGAAGATCGCAAAAAACAACATTCACATTCACAACATTCTCCATTTCGTCATCGCCCCTGTCATTGAGGTGGATCGTTCTATTTTTTTTCTTTGATTGCCCCCTGTTCAAGTCTTGCCCCGGATGCTGTCCGCAGTCTGTTTTCCTTCGAGAACATCGCGGGAAACCCGTCAGGCTGGACTGGGGTCCTGCACCCTGGTGCCCTTGTCTTTCTATTGTGTGATCCTCCTTGCCTGTCACCTTGTTTGACAAGCCATGGAATCTCAACTTCCCCTTGCTCGGACGAACACCTCCTGGACACCGTCACCGGACGACCTTTGATCAACGATAACATGCAATTTCGCTTTGCAATTCGCGATTGACCGTATGTCCAATGTCCATCGTTCATCACAATATCGATGCACCCGACCGAGAGATAAAGACAAAAAAAAGCACAGCGCGAGAGATCCCTCGCTGTTCTTCCTTGAGAGGCATGCCTCTCGATGAACTTCCATGATTTGCACTTGCTTCCACAATATCCTCACTCCGACATCTCCCGATAGCAGGAGAGATACTCCTCCGAAACAGCCCGTGCAGCTGATTCTGAACACAGATGAGGCGTGGGGGTGTTGGTTGTGGGATCTTGTGTCTGTTCGGCGAGAGTCCGACGAGATGTCAAAAAGACACAAAAAGAAAGGAGGAATCGAAGGTCGAGTGGTCATATTCAGACCAGGGCTTGGTATGTCAGAAATGGCCTCGTGGCCCAATGGCAAGGCGCTTGACTACGATACACAAAGTCGGTTGCAAAACCAGTTGACATCAAGAGATTCTGGGTTCGACCCCCAGCGAGGTCATCATTTCTTTTTTTCTTTTTCTTTTCTTTTCCTCATCCAACTCTGATCGGAATATAAGAACGTCGTCTTGTGTGACTTCGGCCACCATGCTTGCTTTGTTCAGAATCCCTACAGCCACACTGATGTCGCGATGGCATCGAGGATCTTACTCAGGGGCAAGACGAAACATGCACCCCCTGAGCGTAGAAGAAGCAGCTTACGACAGTAGACTGACTACGTTCTGTCTACTCATCACGGAGCAAAGGAAACCGGATATGACATGGGAAACAAAGCTGAATGAGAGATTCAATGATATAGAGCAAAGTCATCAAGACCACGAACGACAGAAAACAGGCAAGACGACTATCACAAAAAGGAAGTGAGAGACAAGAAAAGAAACGAAAGGGGTGAACAAACATCAGGACACAAGCCAAATAGATCTATACCCTTCATTACATCCATCCTATCCCTGCTCCTCACCCACCCATCTCACCCCCAAACATTCCCAAACAAATCATCATTCCCCCCCGCCGCACCACCAGCCGCACCACCAC